ATATATATATATATATATATATATATATATATATATATATATATATATGATGGCTTACCATCATGTTGAAATCTGGGATGTTTTGCGTTATAAATAAGGTCCGATCGCGGTCAGTCACTTCAATTTTTACTATTTTTTTTCAATTTCAAAAAATAGTATGGAAAATTCTCACACCATGTATAAACCATGTCTTTTAGTATTTTTTGTGAAAATGAATCGTGCTTTTTTGGGTGTGACTTCTGCCGGCACAGAGAAGACGTTTTTTATTAGTCGCCACTATTAAAAATGCTTAGAAAACTAAATAATCTCACTATTTATTACTTTAGATAACGAATCTCAAAAACAGAGTCTACCTGTTTTAACTACAATGGTATTTGAGAGATGTAGAGACCTTGTTTGAAAAATATCACACTGTAATCTCATATCAAAATCATTATATAAAGGATGATAACTTAACTTTTTGATGGTTGGAAAGGAAACGGAGTGTGATGTCAGCAAAAGCCCATTTCACTATTTCCAAGGATTTTAGCTATTTTATGAAAAAGGAAATAAATGGTGAACATGAAGAAGTTAAATATACATGAACTTTAAACTTTACATTTACATCCAATCAAAATAATAACAGCTTTTTTAAGAACATAAAGCACAGATGTATCTACGCACACATGAATAGAAAATAGGTTTAGGAATCTGAAAATAAATTCCTTTTAGGTTTCACTATAAATTTATTAAAGGTCATTATTTTTATGCCTTGAAAGCTTATTCTTCATTCATCCATACGGGTAATGACAAAACATGGATTTTTGGTGTGGCTGCTATAAGCTGCTCATGAGAATGATCCAGGTTTATAGATGTTTTAATGGTTGTAATTTAACATATAAATAAAAATGTAACTAAACTTTTTTAATGTTGACACAGATATTAATACAGGCTACTGGAGGCGACCCAATGTGTTTCAGTTGTCCAGAAAACAGTATAAACAACTGGAGCTGCTTTCATTTTATAGTGATCAATATAAAAAAATAGATTTATGTTTTTCAATTTTTATACATATAATAAAGTTTCATTTTAATTTTGTGGAATGGAAGAAGAGGGAAATTCCACAGACTGCAAACTGGCCTGTCCCTGAACACAATGTTATGTTGCTCACAGTCAGTCAGTCAGAGGAGACTGAATGACCACTAATGACTAATAAACACTATAGATTGATTAATTTGATCAATCTTAGGAAATAGAAGAGATGCATTCCTGGATTTCACACTTGATTTTGTTTTTTAAATATTAATAAATATTTAAATATAGATAAATGCATCACTGTCCCCATTTCCTGTTTTGATTTTCATGAAATGTATTTATTTTTATCTACGAGCTGGAAATGTGGTCACCTTATGTAGGAGCCAATTATTTTTTTTCACTATTTAACTAAGTTTATTATTGTGGATAATCTAGCTAAGTTTATTTGTTATACTTTATTGTTTGATATCTGTTTTGAGATCATGTTTTTTGGTTATTTAGTTATGTTTCTATGTTTGAATTCAGTTTTTAAACAGGCTGTCAGTGGCAGGACCAGCATGCATCTGGGTGGGCCAATGGTTTTAAACCAGCGCAAGAGAAGCATGGCGGAAATGTTTGTCCTCTTCTCTTTGCTTTCCTGAGGAGTTAATAAACCAAGAAAACTGAAGGAGTTTACCTGGAACATTTTCTTTGCCTGCTCTAAATGACTTATGTACGACGGAGTATTAGGGCCACACATGAAGAGAAAAAATATTTTTGCCATGACGAGATTAAAATCGACATGTCGACTTTAAAGTCGACATGTCGACATTAAACTCAACATTTTGAGAATAAAGTTGAAATGTCATGTTGAGTTTAATCTCGCCCTGTCGACTTTAAACTCGCCATTTCGAGAATAAAGTTGATATATCGTGGCGACTTTAATCTCGACATTCCAAAGTTTGGAGAAAAGAGCAACCGCGCTCCACAGCTGCAGTCTGCGTTTTAAGAGTGAAGGTAGTCTTTGACGTGCCGCAACTGTATAGGATTCTGTGCATGTATCCTGTGCAGCGGTTGGCTCTCTTGAACAAATTTCAACTTTATTGTCGACACGTCGAGATTAAACTCAACATGACATTTCAACTTTATTCTCGAAATGGCGAGTTTAAAGTTGACACGTCGAGATTAAACTCAACATGACATTTCAACTTTATTCTCGAAATGGCGAGTTTAATCTCGTCAGGGCAAAAATATTTTTTCTCTTCATGGGTGGCCCTAATACTCCGTCGTACTTATGGCAAGGCAAGGCAAGGGAAATTTATTTCTATAGCACAATTCAGTACAAAGACAATGCAAAATTATTAAAATACAGGAAGATAAAACAGAATCAAAGCAAGTAGGAAAAATAAATAAATAAATAAAATAAAGTAAAAAATGCAGAAACGAAAAAGAATATTACTTATCTATCTTAGGCATTTGTGGATTTTTTTTGTGCGTTTTCAAAGCTGGGACACAACAAATGGTCTAAATATCAACCAGAAACATACATTTTTTTGGTTCTTTTATTCCAGTTTCCTTTGAATCTCCTGTTGCGTATCAGATCCTCCATCTTTAGTCACAGGATCATTTCTTCTTCTTAATAGATTTTGTTGTTTGTTTTTCCTTCCTCCCAGCGCCTGTTGAAAAGCATCACTCCCCAGCCCAGCAGCAACAGCCACAGAGATTTATTTGTGACCAACGCAATCTGACCAAACCTGTTACCACAACAAGGCGCAGGTCCCAGCTACCTGGAGCGCCATCTTCTGCACATACAGCAAAACTACAGGGGAAGGGGGCTGTCTGCAACCATTCTTTCATCTTTTCAAACATCTCTTCTACTCATTCCCACGTCGATTTAGTTTGCAAGAACATTTTAGTTACTTTAAAACCTAATCCTCAGAGTTTGGGGCACGCAGAGCTTCATGTCCCTTCCTTTAAAACTCCAAAGCGATAAAGTAACAGATGTTTTGTAAGCTTTTAAGTACGATACAGTCATGTGTTGGTTTAGACAATAAAAACACACAGCCAGACAGGAGATCCTGCTCATGCAGCTCGGTTAGGGCAGGTCACATGTAAACACTACTCTGCATTCTCATTATCTATGACTTTAGTCTCATATAAATACTGTTAAGTTATCCTTTCTAATATGTAGCAAAATTCAGGTATTTTTACATCTGTTACTGAAGCCAAATATTCCAAATTTGTTCTGTTTCTGTTTCATAACTGTTGCTGTTGTCATGCTGTTGTTGACTGTGTTGATCTGATGGAATCTGGAGCAACTGGCAGACTTTTGCAAAGAGGTCCCTACACTGTGAAGCACTGTGGCATGAGTGTGTGACTGAACCGTGTGTTTGATGCGTACATGACTGACTGTTATATCATCCAGAGGGAAATGAATCCCAGACAGGAAAAAAATAAAAATAAAATAAACACAACAATTGTGTTAACTCAGAGACTGCAATATAATATAAATGTATTTATTTCTGAATGTGTCAGTGCTGTCACTTTGCCTCACCTTACGTGTTCTTGCACTGTCATGGTGAAACGGTGTTTCATCCCAATGATAGAAGCCAAATACAGATCAGAGCTAATACCATAACTATCATCATATTTTTGTTGTGGGGGGAAAAAAAAATCAGCATTTAAGCTCCTTTACATACAACCCTAACAAAAAAACACAGAGAAAAAATGTGTGCCTGCTTGTATGTGTGTTTTTTTGAGAGTGTGTGCACGAGCAGGACATAAAATCTGTGGGAGAACCGTCCATCTACATGTGAAATGACTAGTCCCTCTTGGTATCGGTGTAATTTATCGTGTGAACACCTGCTTCCTCCTTCCATGGACGTGGAACTGCATGTGCGTTCAGTGCTTGTGTGATGGTCAGAAGCACCTTTATGTGTGCCTGTCGTGGTGCGCGAGTGTAAGTGGGTAAGTGTGTGCTTGTGTGAGAGAGAGTGTGTCCGTGACGTGAACTCATGTGGTCTTGTTAAATGCCAAAACATTTCATAAAGAGCGTAAACCTCCCCTTCTCTTTCTATCGCTCGATGCTTATGTAAGATCTATGTATGTCAATACACGGCTGTACTGAGAATCATCTGTATAGAATGAAGAATATATAATTATATGGGAAATAAAAAATAATAATAAAGATATATGAAAGTTAATGGTTGTCCTGCGAATTTGTTACTTTTTCCAGCTGTCTTAATTTCAGCTTTCATTTCTTTTTAACAGATATTGATTGATCTATTTGTTTCATATATCTGTTTTTTGTCAATGTTGTTTTTAAATATAATTTAATACAGCTCCTCCCCCCCTCACACCTATTAGCTGGACTAACAAATGCTGCAGAAAGGGAAAATAGAGATAGAATGAAGCAGAACGAGGAAAACTGGACCCTATGTCGTCCAGCAGACTAAGTCTATAGCAGCATAGCTATAACCTGACTCCACCAGATGGATTTGCTCCGCATATCCATCTGGAAACCTTCCGTTGAAGTAATTTTGGGAAGGGGCGAAAATACTGGTTAGCTGATTGGC